GACGTACCGCCTCCCCCTCCTCCCCCTCCTCCTCCTCCCCCTCCGCATCTGCCGCATCTCCCGTCGCGGCTGCTGCGAACAGGTCGATGCAGGCGAGGGCCAGTGCCGGCCAGAGACCCAAATCGGTGAGGGCGGCGGCGACCGCTGATACCTAGTGTTGACGGGCAAGGGCAAAATTCAAGCAGGATACCGGTACAGGAAGGGAGAGGGTAAAAGGACAGGAGAGGTGAAGGGTAAATAGCAACAGCGACGGCAAAAGGTAGATACGCCTGTCTGCCAGCTTACGGCCTAGGAATGCAGCAGAGTCACTTCGCTACACCTCACGGAACCCTCCGCTGCATACCCGTACTAGCGACCAAACACACATCCGCCCCAGCCCCAGCCCCCACCTGTGCCTTCAGCTGCTGCACCCCCTTCACCGAAGCTCCGAACCGCCCCTGCTGCTGCTGCTGCTGCTCGCCCCCGCTTCGCCCCCACAGCACCTCCCCCTGCTGCGCCACCCCCTGGTCCACCCGCAGGAAGCAGCCCACCTCCGCCTCCACCTCCGCCTCCACCGCCCCGCCCGCCAGACCTAGCTCCTCCCAGCACACCTCCCCCAGCTGCTGCAGCCGGACCAGCCGGTCGCGCCGCCCTAGCAGCCGCTCCGCCAGCAGCAACAGCCGCTTGCAGTCCTCGAGAGCGGAAACCAGCGGAGCCAGTGCAGCCGCCGCTGCAGAGTCGGCAGCTGCAGTAGCGGCACAGGCCGCTTCGCTGACCTGCATACCGGTATTGCATGGAACATGGAACATGGGGCATGAGACATGGGCAAAAAGGCATGCATGCCGATTGTCGAATGCCGTTGGCAGTTCGTACGGTGAGAGCGTTGTGGTACGGTTAAGCATCCAGAGCAGCAACCAAGGAAGCAAGGAGTCCGGCTCGAGCTGCTTAGACAGTACAGTAACGCACGTATCTAAGCGCCGCCTGCGTTCTCCTTATGAGCGCGCGATATTTTTTATTGTGCAGTCCTATCGGCTGCCCCTCCACCCACCACACCACACCTGCTGCTGTTGCTGCTGCTGGGGCACCAGCCCTAGAGAGGTGTACGGCAGTACCCCCGCCGGCGGCAGGGCGCCCCTGCTGCCCGCAAACAGGGGTGGCGGCTGGAATGCAGGCACAGGTGCGGGCGGCGCCGCTCCCGGCCCCACCCACTTGATCTCCGCCTGCAGGGTAGCGAGGGGACAACCACAGGAGCGAGCTAAGGCACATGCGCCCAGCGTCCTTCACATGCGCCTCGGCGTCATGCGTTTGGGCCCAGAAGCGAGCGAAAGTAAAAGCTTAGTAGGGGTCAGGGGCTACAGACGGGCCAGCCATTGACGCCGCACAACAAGCGCCCAAGCTTGTGTACCCTGCTAGTGACCCCCTGGCCACTTCTGACGCCAACACGGCCGTACATACAGAGGTACCGGTACCTTGGGTCGCGAGGGCAGTGCGCGCAGGGCCTCATCGCACGCCGGCATGGCCACTCGAGCTCCGCACATCGCCTCCTGCATGGCGGTTGACACAAACCCACATACACACACGCGAGCATCAGCACCGCCAGGGCACATCGGCCAGGCCACCATACTTACTTCTTAAACCGGAAACCGCACTCAGCCGGGCAGCTGACCAGGATGCCCACCTCGCTCCCCAAAAGTACTCGGTTCGCACATGGCCGAGCCCGCCACATGGCTAGCGCCTCCCCTCTTCACCCCACATACCCCCCCCACCCCTGCCACCCCCATACCTGCAGCAGGTGCGGGTGCTGCGGTGATGCCGTCAGGCCCAGCAGCCTCGGTCGCCTGCCGCAACCGCTGCCTCTGTCACCACCACCACCCCCGCCAGCATCTCCGCTGCTGCTGCCCGGCCCAAGTTCGCCCGCTGACAAGGAGGGCTGCTGCGGGGACTGCTGCTGCTGCTGCTGCTGCTGCTGCTGCTGCTGCTGCTGCTGGTGGCGTCCGAAGAACTCCCTCATGAGCACCGCGTAGGGGTGCTGCTCGCGGCAGTGGTGGCACTCGTCCACCACCAGCAGACCGATGTGGGAAACCTGAAGGGGTGGGAGGGGAGGGCGGCAAGGGGGTTTCAGATTGATGGGGGCCAAAGGGGAGCAAAGGCCCCCTTGGTGTGGGTGGTCGGAAGCGCCGCCAGGGAACAGCGAGCAACCCTCACCACCAACTCCGTCCCCGTCCCTGATTCCCCCACCTGCCGCCCTACCCCCCCCCCTACCCGCACCCTGCATCACCCGCCCTACCCACCCACCCTGCACCCGCCCTACCCGCACCCTGCATCACCCGCCCTACCCACCCACCCTGCACCCGCCCTACCCGCACCCTGCATCACCCGCCCTACCCACCCACCCTGCACCCGCCCTACCCGCACCCTGCATCACCCGCCCTACCCACCCACCCTGCACCCGCCCTACCCGCACCCTGCATCACCCGCCCTACCCACCCACCCTGCACCCGCCCTACCCGCACCCTGCATCACCCGCCCTACCCACCCACCCTGCACCCGCCCTACCCGCACCCTGCATCACCCGCCCTACCCACCCACCCTGCACCCGCCCTACCCGCACCCTGCATCACCCGCCCTATCCCCCCCCCCGTTCCTACCCGCACCATCCCATGCACCATGGCCCCCAGCAGCACCGCCGGAGTGCACACAAGCACGTCGCACCGCCGCAACAGCGCCGCCCAGCGCTCCGGACCCCAGGACAGGTCCGCGCAGGTGCCGCCCAGCCACCGCACACGCAGCAGCCCGCCGCCGCCGCTGCTGCTAGCGCTGCTGCTGGTGGTGGCGCCTCTGGCAGCGCCGGGGTTGGTGCTGGGGATGTTGTCTTCCGCTTGCATGTCGCCTGGCTCGCCTCTATCAGCAGCAGCTGCTGCTGCTGTCGTACCAGCAACCGCGGTAGCATTCCCATGGCGTTGATGGTGGGTCGCGCTGTCGTCGGCGGATTGAGCTGCTGTTGCTGCAGCGCTGCGAGGTGAGGCGGAAGGGGCAGCTGACGGGGGTTGAGAGAAGGTCCCCTCCGGGGGTGCTATGGCGACGTGTGAGGCAGGCACGGCAGCCAGGACCTCGGCTTGCTGGGGTGGCAGGGCGGGTTGGCAGTGGCAGAAGCGGTGGGTGGGTCGAAGGGGTGGAAAAGACGGGTTATTAATTCATAACGGGTTAATGAAGGGGTTGGAGACGGTGCTGGAGGCGGAGCAGGGTTTCGCAAGGACTGGGAGAGAGATAGGCCAAGGTGCAATGGCCATGTAAGGCGAGGGTGATGAGGATTCGGGTTGGGTACGGAAGAACACAACTGCCGCTAGAGCACCTCTGGTTGCCGGTGAGATACCCTGTCAGGGCCTGAGAGCGAAGGTAACGCGGATGGCCCAACAGCTGTGGTCCGTGAATGGCCAGCCCAGCCTTCACTGCCCACCTGACGCACGAGGGGCACGGATGGTGCCAGGAATACGGCAATCCGTCCCGTACTGCGCAGAGAAGGCAGCACGCTCGCTACAAGCTCCACTGCGATGCGGGTCTTGCCCATGCCTGCATTTGTTTGCACAGCGTTATGTATCATTACAAGGCCTTCGTTGCCAGTTAACATTTTCCGATTACCAATCCGACTCGCCACAAAGACTACTGCCTAAAGGTTTGCAATGATGCCTGGCAGTACGAGGACTGAATAATCAGCCAAACCTTATGGAGTCCAAGCAATGGGAAGCATGCGCTCGACAAGCAACGAAGCACGATGGATGTGGATGTGGCAATCAACGAACGCTGACAAGGACTCCACCGTGTAACCTACCTGTTTCGAGATAGACAATGGTGTCTTGCCGTAGAGCGATCTCCACCATTTCTCGCTGGTAATCGCGTAAAGGTGGGAGTGGCGCTAACTTCCCCATTCTCAATTTTATGAACGGGTGTCCGTCGAACAACCCTTTTTATAAAATTTTAGCGTAGGCACTTGCATAAATGCGCTAGTGCCGGAGTTGCCCTGGGGTCGGTCGGCTGCTTTGGCTCGTCCTAGCGTAGCACTTCTTGATTGGATGCATTGCACATCAATGCAGGAATAAGTCTAGCCCGTAAGCTAAATGGGATGGACTGTATGGAATTCGACACGATCGTATAGCACATCAGTCACGGGTCAACCACGGGTGTTAACGGCGGCAACGGTTGCCCTAAAGTACCAGATTAATTCATATTTCATGGCGGGCATGATTGCACCTCTTAAAGAGCAGGTGTTTGGTTGAAGCACAGTCCAGTTGCAAGTGTTCCATTCTTTAATTGGTTTAGTACGGGTGTGGCTGACGGGTAATGGGAACCAACGGGAACCTGGGAGCACGCAGTGCAGGCAGGGCTTCCAATTCCAATGACTTTTCGGACTGCCATTCCAGTGAATACCCAAAATACCCAGCAGAGCTAGCGGCCATGTGCTTGTCTTTTCCCGTGCAACTTGTACCAGCAGCCGCAGCAGGCAGCAGCCTGCCTGCAGGGGGTGCATTGCATGCGCCACAGCAGGCCCCAAGATGAACGTTTCTCTGGCTTTAATATGCACTGTGTGCCTTCTATGTTTATTGGGTCTTTGGGTGGCTTGGGGAAGCTCCTCTGTTGTACTTTCCTGTGTTAGGGCTAAGTTTCATCACAACGTTTGCACTCATCTCCAATATACTCGCTTTTCGTGGTTTCATCGTACAGAGCCTCGGAAGCACCCACAACCTCGACCTCTTGTTACGCTGGCGTGCAACAGCATTTCGTACACACAGTGCTTCGACCGTCCATACGTTGCTGCAGGCATTGTCTGTCAGTTGGCAGGTAGACTCGTCAGCCGTCGCAATGCTGCAGTACATCGTCAACCCAGTGGCCTCATTGCCCTGACACAACCGCCTGGTCCCACATAACAAAGCTGATCCCAGGACAGCTCCTTGGCAGCTGTGGCAGGCTGGCAGCCCGTTATCTTTATGTACGGCACTACAGTGCAGATTCACAGTTTAAGGAGAGGAGAAAGGAGGTTGCGGTTATGCACATTCGGGAGTAACCAAGGAGCTATAAGACCTGCCCCATCTGGGTTGGTACGACGGGGCTTTCGGGAGAGGCCACTCCTGGCTAAAATTCGCACATGATGCCAACATGACTGCCCTACTCGGCCTGCAGAGAATTCCACTTAAGACGAAAGGATTCCAACCCTGTGCATGCAAACTCCCCATGTATCGCAGAAGCGTACATAATCAGCGCTTTTGGGAGACACTTCATCCTGCTATCCCTCAGGCCACATCGAATACGGCACTAGCGTCATCACGCAAGCGGGCTGCCCTCAGAGCCCTTGCAGGCTGTGTGTTCTGAATCTGCAAGCCGCAAGCGGCAACATCCTGTCTGTCAGTCGAAACACATTTGGACTACGGTTGCTGCAAAGAGGCGCCATCCGTATATTACGTTACTGTGAACACAGCGCTACATCATGTCACAGCCCCCGGCTGTGGCGACCTAGCACACATCGCCACCCCCACTGGTTCGTCACACCCTCCACGCTCCACACGTCGCCCCACCCTGCACTCAATAACTTCAGAAATTGTGCAATCACCACCGCCACCACCACACAGCCAGACCCATCCCCTTATTGGAGCTTGGCCTCGGCAAACGCCGCAGCGACCGCCAGTGCCTCCTCCGCCTTCTCCACGTTGGGGCCCTGACCCTGCGCGCTGCCCGGCTTGCCGCCGCCCTTGCCGCCCAGAGGCGCCAGCGCCGCTGACACCCACTCGTTGGCCTTGATCCTGCGGCGGTGGCGCAGCAGCAGCAGGAGCAGCAGGAGGAAAACAAGGAGTTAGATCAACCTTGTAGTCGTCCTTACGGTTAGGGCAATCCTGTTTGTTAGCCCAGTCCTGACCTGCCTATAAACCAAGGACTCGGAGCCAAGGGTCTCTGAGTTGTCAACGACGTCAGTGCACTCCAACAAGGTTCCAGGCCAACCTACGAAATGAGGCCAACCAAGCAGCACGCTAACCCCACGCGGACGCCTCTAAGAACACCCACTTGCTGATGAGGGCATCCGGCACCCCCGCGTACGCCAGTGCCTTGCCCTTCTCCGCGTCCACTGACACGAAGAGCGCCGCCAGGGTCGGGTGCTTGGCGGTGATGGCGGCGCACGCCTCCGCAGTCGCCTTGGTGTCCAACCCCACGTCCAGCCTGGGGTTGATGCACACGGCAACGGGGTTCCACATCAACGAGAGCGGAGCTTGCATGTCCGGCTGTAAGCAGCAGCACGGTACTGCATGACCAGCATGAGGCATACTCGTTTGACTGCTTCACACACTGCAACGTCCGGTGTGCATCCTCACATCCTAATCAGTTAGCACACGCACACGTAAAGGCGGCGCGACTGGCCTTACTCCCGACGTTCACATCACGCACTGCAGCTCCCAGGTCGACGATATCCCATCCTCCCTCCTCACCGTCCAACCACAAAGGCCTTGCCGGCCGCCACGGCTGCGTCCGCGGCGACCACCGCCTTCTCCGCCGCCAGCGCCTTGTTGGCCGCGGCCGCCGCCTTCTGGTACTCCACCACCCGCCGACCCAGCGCCGCCAGCTCCTCTCGCAGCGCGGCCTTGTCGGCGGCCGGGATCACCGCAGCGTCCACGGACTGCCGTGGGCATGGCAGGAAAGAGATGGGTCGAGCAGGATGAGCCCATGGGCAAAAATACATGCGGGTTCATCCGCTACAGAGTATATGCCGAAAGGTGCTTTTTACCACATGCAACAGCCCGTCCGGCCCATGCAACCCATGTTGATGCCTTATCCCTCAGTCAGTTAGTTGTTTCCTCTTTACCCTGCCCCCGCTTCCCCCACCTCCTTGAACGCCTTGCACGCCTTCTCCAGCTGCTCGTCCGGCAGCGCCGCAATGGCCGCCAGCTCCGCCCGCATGCGCGCAGCCGCCTCAATGGCGCGCACCGCCTCCCCGCGGGTGACGGCCACAATGCGGCGCACGCCCTTGGCGATACCCTCCTCGCTCAGCAGCGCAAAGGCCTCAGCCTGGGGGAGAGAAGGCAGCGGCGCGGGGCGGAGAGGGGTTTTATTAGGATGAGTGATGGGCGAGCCCGGGTGAGGACTTGCCAAGATGTTTCCAGGAAAGGGCACCGAGGCAACTATGGAGTGGGGCGAGCGTCCCATGCGCTAGCAGCATGCAATGGGCTGACGCAATGAAGGATTGGATACCACCCCACACACATCACCCCCATAAGGAGCCGCTCATTCACACGCCAGTTGTTACACCTCTTCGCGGTGCATGCCGCCATTCCAACCCCCTCCTCCCGCCCGTCCCGCCCCCACCTCGGCGGTGTTGCTCAGGTGCGTCCCGCCGCAGAACTCAATAGAGAAGGCGGCGTTGGTGGCGGCCGCGGGGTCTGCCAGCAGCTCCTCCACCGCCCGGCCGATGGACACCACCCGCACCGGGTCGGGGTACACCTCCCCGAATACGGCACTGGGGGGAACATGGTAGTTGCGGTTGGAAGGGGAGGAGCAGCAGCAGGGGCAGGGGGGCGAATGGTTACCGTAGTGTGTGTATTGCCAAACAGCACTGTGAGGAACACAGCAATTGCGGTTGGAGGGGTCGGTCAGAGCAGCCGCAGGGGCAGAGGTTTCAGTACAGCAAGGATCAGGGTATTGAAATAGCTAGAGAACAGAGGAGGCGAAGGAAAAGGACCAACAAAAGCGCCGCGTGGGGTTTAACATGAGTGACCCATGGGTCTTCCTTCCGCTCTCACCGCAGGCCGTTGATGGCGCGCGCCTGCGCCAGCGGCACCTCGTTGCCGTACACCGGCAGCGCCGCCGCCACCGCCTCGCGGCAGATCTTCTCCACCGCCGCCAGCTGCGCCGCCTCCACGGGGCCCGCGTTGGAGAAGTCGAAGCGCAGCTTGTCCGGCAGCACGATGGAGCCCTTCTGGTCCACATGCTCACCCAGGGTGGACCTGGGAGGAGGGGCGCGAGGAGGGAGGAGCGGGGCGTGAGGAGGGAGGAAAGGGATAGTTCAAAAAGGGGGCGAGCATGGTATTAATTTCTTGTCTGTAGAGGACAGGCCGCCAACCCGCGGCGCCAGGCTCGACTTCAGCAGTGCACCCAGCTCCCAAAACGCAACGTTCCCCTGCCATTGCCCGCTGTCAAACGCCACCAATGCAACAGCACCGTTGGTTCGCGTCCCAGGACTGGCCGCCGCCCTCCTTCCGCGCCCAGCGCAATGAGCGCCTCTCCCCTTACTTGAGCGCAAAGTTGAGGACGTGCGTGAAGGTGTGGTTGGGCTTGATGAGGCCGCGGCGCTCGTAGTCCACCGCCACCGTCACCTGGTCGCCCACGCGGAAGGAGCCCGAGGCCTCGCCCACGTGCAGCACGTAGCCGGCAGCGACCTGAGGGGAAGCGGAGAAGAGGAGGCGGAAGAGAGGTGAGACACAAAGTGACAGAGTAGTCGTGACAGAAGTTTAATTCCCACCAGCTTTCCGCCAGCATGTGTCATATAATGCCGTTGATGCATCGCGGAGGAGTCGCTGGGCTGTAACGGCACCTGTTCCAAGCCCACCCAACACAGCGCGTTGCTGCTCCCAGCTCCGAAACCCGCCCCCAACCAGGTTACCCCCACCACCGTCACCTCCGCTAAACTACGGTCAGGGCCAGTGTTTCCGCGGCTCAAAGTCCACCACACCCCCACCTGGCAGTCGGACACCACCAGCGAAGCGCCGTCCGGTCCCCGCACCGCGCCCGTGTCGCCGATCTGGCCGCCGCTCTCCGCGTAGAAGCTGGTCGCGTCAAACACAAGACCCACGGGTCCGTCCGCGTCCGCCGCCTCCGCGCTGCTCTCCACAAAGCCGGCCGGGGTCAGGATGGCGAGCACGCGGGCGGTGACGTCGCTGCTGCCGTACTTGGGGGCGTCGTTCTGGGGGCGAAGTGGGTGGCGGGCGGTATTATGGAGAGGAGCGAGCAGTCGAAGCTTTGGGGGATGGCATGCCAGCATTCAGGGCGTGGGCGTCAGCCTGACAGTACCGTACCATACCCAACCCTTCCCTAGAGTGGAAAAAACAACAGGCTTTGTTACTTGGGGCCTTGTCGGTTTCCTCCTCAACCGCAATCCGCCTCACGAAAACCAACCCCCCCCAGCCCCCTCCATTGGGACAGCGTTGTTGCACTTATCTACATTTCCCCCGTCCAGCCCTGCACCTACCGTGAGCGGCACACCCTTGGCCTGCAGCCAGCCGGTGGCCTCCGCCTCGAACTTGATACCAGTGCCCGCGGCCTTCTTGCCGCCCTGTGGTGAGGGGATGGAAACGGACACCGATAAGACCATGTTGGTAAAAACAAGTGACGCAACCCATGACGAGTTCCCTGGCAGCAGGCAGCAGCCGGGACAAGCAGGCACGCAACCAAGAACCGCAAGCTATGCGGCACAGCGCCTTCATGCATACGCAGGGTTCCATGCGCGTTCCTGCGCGGCTCGGTTCCCCCGCAGACCCACCTGTCGCGACTTCTCCCTGGCCTCGTTCATGGCCGCCTCGTAGCCCGCCATGTCCACCGTCATGCCGCGCTCCTCCGCCATCAGCTGCGTCAGGTCCACCGGGAAGCCGTACGTGTCCCACAGCACGAAGGCCTCGGAGCCGGGGATCTTGTGGTCGGTGGCGGAGGTGGCGGCCTTCTTGAAGCGTTCAATGCCTGGGGGCGGGGGGGGGGAGGAAAGGGAGGGGTTGGAGACATGGGGGAGGGAGGGAAGGAAGTTGGGAACAAGCAAGGTGGGGCAGGAGGACAGAACAGAACATCAAGTCATATCACCACACCGCACGCGTGTCATTAATACACCATTCCCCGTAAAGAATCCCCCCACCCCCCCCTTTCAAGCTCACCCTTGACCAGCGTGCGGCTGAACGCCGCCTCCTCCTCCCGCAGCACCGAGTAGATGGTGTCTCGCTGCCGCACCAGCTCCGGGAAGAAGCCGCCAAAGTTGGCCACCACCACGTCCACCAGGCCCGCGAAGAAACCCTCCTTGGCGCCCAGCGTCTCGCGACCGTAGCGCACGGCCCTATTGCACACACACAGACAGCGACAGTATGTTCCTACTCGCGGCCAGTTTTCTTAACACAGACAGCGCAGAAACACCTGGTTAACAGCGATGCAAAGCTGTGTAAAGCGCACTAATGTAGGTCAGCCCATTTCTACTGACGTAGCATTGACACAACGCGTAGGGGGAGGGGCGTGCCGTACCTGCGCAGGATGCGTCGCAGCACGTAGTCGCGACCCTCGTTGCCAGGGCGCGCTCCGTCGGCGATGGAGAAGGAGAGCGTGCGGATGTGGTCGGCCACCACTCGGTACGCCATGTCCACCCCGTCCACATCGTCCTTGCCCACCTGCAGAAAGCAGAGCAGCAGCGCACCCCCAACCGTCAGCGCTGTTCGCATGTAATGTTCTCTTACGTCTGAACCATCAACCATGACTTGAAAGCTTTTCCAAATTGAGCTAATTGTTGGCTTGGATACGACGGAGCGTAGCGATCGGAGTCTCTAAGCCTGGTTCTGTGCGACTGTCGTACGACAATCGCACAGAACCAGGCTCCGTCGTATCTAAGCCAACAATTCTGTGCTCCTGTCTCCCGTTACCTATCTCGAGAGGCTCTCTGTTTAGGCTGTAACAGTTGCTGACTAGTGCCAAGCGGGACGAGCCAAAAGCGGGCCTGCTCGGCCTCCCGCCTGTCTCCTAGCGGCTCACTACACCTAATCCCGCCCTCCCCTTCCGCCGCTTCCCCTCATGCTGCCCTGCCCTACTTTAAGGCTGGGCTAGGAATGGCCGTTTGTACTTCTTCCCGCCCTCCCCTTCACCTTGTCAGTGTACGTCCGGGCACCGGTGACTTGCTGGATGGCGTCGAAGATGGGACCGAACACGTCGGTGGCGTAGTTGGACATCTTGCCCTGAGGGAGCGCAGGTTTGGGAACACAGCATGCAAAGGCGGAAAGGGTTGGAACAGTTTTCGGGCGTCCTTGAACAATGACGAGAGGTAACTGCAAGAAGACCGACGTAACGCGCAGAAAGCCGGGGCAGGTGTAACGGGGAGCGGGCCACACCTCTCGGCCTTATCAATGTTGGTTTGCCGGCTCGACTTCACTACTCTCCCCTTCACCAAGAGTTGCCACACTCGCGTATCGCATGTGTTGGTTCTCCTCTCTTCCCTCGCACCTGAACCCCCCCTTTTGTCTTGCCCTAACCTGTGGATTCCGATGGTACGGTATGACTTTCCCCCGCCCCCCTTTTTCCGCACCTGCAGCACCGAGGTGATGCGCTCCAGCCCCATGCCCGTGTCCACGTGCTTGGCGGGCAGCGACTTGAGCGAGCCATCCGGCTCCCGGTTGAACTGGATGAACACGTTGTTCCAGATCTCCAGCACGTTGGGGTCGTCCGCGTTCACCAGCTCAGCCGCGTCGCGACCGCCGATGCTGCGCGGGAAGACGCAAAGCGTAACCCATTGATTTGTGCCGAAGGGAAAGACAAGGATGTGCGCCGAAAAGGTGGGCGTGTTGGGAAGGGCGGACAGTTAAACCGACACAAACGTTCCTAACCCTGAAATGAGAAACACATTCTATTCCCACTCCATCTACAACGCCCCTCCCCATCTCTCACACAGGAGCCCGGCACGTACCGGTCAAAGTGGATCTCTGTGCAGGGGCCGCAGGGGCCCTGGTCGCCCATCTCCCAAAAGTTCTCCTTGTTGCCGTACGGCAGCACGCGGCTCTCCGGCAGGAAGCGCAGCCAGATCTCCCGGGCCTCGTCGTCGGCGGGCAGGCCCTGAGGTGAAGGGAAGAGGACGGTTATGAGGCGGCAGAACGGTGAAAGTAGACCAAAGAAGGATGCGCTTGAAGCCCGGTACGTCTTCGGGAACGCAAAGCAGGGAAACTCCCGCTCAAAGACATGCAGCCAGCCGTCTCACGGGCTGCGTTGCGAGTACCGCCGCGACCCATCTTGACGCTTCTTTGGTGAGCGGTGGATAAGATGAACTTAGCGTGTTCAAGGGCAAGCGGAGCCTCTACGTCCAGCTGTTCGGTTCCACCTCCGTCACCCCCACCCCAAGACGTGATAGTTGATTCTCTCCCTCCCCCAGGCTGCGGCCCGCCAGCATGCGCCCCTCGAGCACCCACCTGGGAGGGGTCTCCGCGGAAGTAGGTGGCGTACAGCCGCTCGGCGGGCAGCTTGTACCACTGCGGTGGCGGTGGCGGAACACATTGGGGGGGCCGATAGGTGTCAAATTGTAACAGGACTTGCGCCCCGCGCCTGGGTCCCTCACCCTAGGCCCCCGCACCCTACCATTGCTCATGGTCACCACGTCTCAGTTAGTTTGGTTCCCCTCCGACCCCTCTCCGACCCCCGCCGCCCTACCTTTGTGAGCAGCTCCCAGGCCCAGCTGATGGCCTCCTCCTTGAAGTAGTCCCCGAAGGACCAGTTGCCCAGCATCTCGAAGAACGTGTGGTGGTACACGTCCTTGCCCACATCGTCCAGGTCGTTGTGCTTGCCGCCTGAGGGAGGAGCGGGGAAGAGGGAGGTTTGGGGGGCCGGGCGGCTACTGTTGCGGTGCCCCCGGACAATACTAATGCCAATCAATCCATACTTACCACAGAAACACGCCTACGGCCCCACCGACCATGTCTGCAGGGCCCCGTTCCCTACTCTTCATTCAAGCCATCGCCCTTCCGGACCACCCTCTCCCAGCCCCAACCTGATCTCTGCCTGCACCGCCCCTTGCAGCCCCAGCCCGGCTGAGCCCCAACCAGCTACCAGCGGCACCCACCTGCGCGGATGCACTTCTGGCTGTTGCAGGCGCGCTTCATCTTGCCCATGTCCGAGTTGGGGTCCACGGTTCCCAGGAACACCGGCTTGAACTGCAGGGGGCAGGCGGGGAATGCAGCGCACATGTAGTAACGGCACGCCACGGCAAAAGTACGTCATTGCAGAGGTAACCTCAACCTAGATGATGCGGGCGTCCAATGTGATAGGTGATGAAGGGCGGTGCTTAACGCAGACCTATATCGCACACATACAATCAACGGTCCCCCCAAAGGCGCAGTTATCACGGACTTGCACGTGTAGCATTACGACCCAGATCGCGCAAAGACACCTCCGGCCGTGCACGCCTACCTAAAGGGGTTCCAACATCTTTGCCATTGTCCCCTACGTCCCGCCTCCGCTCCCGCGGCCCCACCTGGTTCATGCCCGCATTGGTGAAGAGGAGCGTGGGGTCGTTGTGCGGCACCACGCTGCTGCTAGCCCAGTACGTGTGTCCCTTGGTCTCAAAGAACTCGTTGAACGCAGCACGCGTGCGCGCGCCCGACCAGGGCTGAGTCAGCACCGACTCGAACGCGGCGAGCGGCGAGGCAGCGCCCGGCGCCATGGCAGCCGCCGGGGCAGCCACGGGCAGGCCCTTCAGCGCCGCCTGTACGGCAGGGCTGCCGTACACGCTCGCCAGGAAGGCCGAGGTCTTCGGCAGCTCGGAGCGGAGCTTCTCGTCCATGACCGTGACGTAGAAGACGAACACCGACATGGCGACTGCGGCGTCCACAGCGGCCCCTGCACCCAGGGTTGCGTAGGGGCTGGCTGCCAGCGCGGACTCCAGAGCGGCTAGGTGCGCGCGGAAGCGGTTGGAAGCAGATGCTGCGGTGGCTTCGCTGTACGGCGCCTGGCCGAGCAGGCCATCGATCCAGCCGGGTACGAAGGCGTCGGTGGCTGCGGCCCAGTCGAGCCATTTGGCAGCAGCAGCGCCGCCGCCGATCAGCGCCTTAAGCGCCGGTGCGGGGGCTGCATGCGCAGCGCCGTCTGGGGTAACAAGCAGTGGGAAGGCACCCTCCGGGCTGAGGCGCAGGTAGGCGGGCGTCTGGTTGGTCAGCCCCTCGGTGAAGCAAGGCACGTCCAGCTCCACACCCGCCACGGCAGCCACAACCTACAGACGTATCAGCAGCGGCACAGCAGGGGGGTGCTTGCATGTGAATCCGCTTGCTAACCGAGCAGGCGCTTCTCCTCGTTGCAACCGATGCACCGTTGCATAGGTAACCGTGGACGAGCCGCACCTGTAGGCGTAGAGCCTTCACACCAACGCCGTAGAGGCGCGGCTTTGTGTCAGCCATGCTTCTGGACGGGTTGCGCCTGCTAGCTGAAGTGCCTGCAAGGAGGAGATGGCTTCCTGGTCTCAAAACGACACGAACAGCAGCGCTTGGCCTTACGAGCTGATCAAAAGACGGAGACAGTTACGGCACATCAGGTTTTGAGGTTATACTGGAGCAGCGGCAGAAGTGCTGCGGAGCGCGCAGCAACAATGCAACGCTGCACCAAAATTCAGAAATGTTTGGATACCAGTTAACCTAGAGAAACAGATATGATTCCCTTCCTGGGGCTAACAGTTAAAAAAAGACACTTTCTTCGCACGTCTCAGATTGTGTCCATCCAATTGTGTCTACTATCAAAGGAAAACTGTCAGATCAGCGTTTATGCTAAGGCTGTTGCCATCCGAAGTGTCAGGTTATAATACAGGGCTCAGCAGCACACCTTTAATACGCACTCCCCAGTGACTTGCTAGTCCCGATCGGCCGCCGGGAACAGAAAGCCTAAAGAGCACAGTAACGTCCGACCCGCAGTGTAACGATTTCAGCTCTGGTAAGAAACGTTTTGCAGGAGCAACTGCCTATGCGTAGGCGGCGCATTGCACGGCACCACTAGGGTGTCGTGCAGTCATGACATTGTCTTCTCGGGACCGACTCCTTTCCCACACGTTGAGTCTTTTCGCGGCCAACCTTGACAAAATGCTTAAGCAGGCTGGTAGCTCCCTTATTCAGGCCGCCTCTGCGGCGGCCTTGCCCAAGTCCGCCCGTTTGATGGCGGGGTATGCGACCGGGACTTTCGAAGCAACACTTTTCCCTGGCGATGGCATTGGCCCCGAGATTGCAGCAGCGACTAAGGAAATCTTCCAGGCTGCGGGCGTTCCTGTCGTTTGGGATGAGCAGGTTATTGGGAAGACGCCCGACCCCCGCACAAACTCGATGGTCACTCGGGAGAACCTGGACTCCGTGCTGGTGAGACAGAGCAATCCAGCGGGCTGCCGACTTATTCCTATATATTCTCATGGGCTCGTTTTGCGCTTTGCAGAAGCACAAGATTGGCCTCAAGGGGCCCATGACCACGCCCATTGGCAAGGGTTTCCGGTCTCTCAACCTAACGCTCCGCAAGGAGCTGGACCTGTACGCCAACGTGCGCCCTTGCTTCAACATCCCTGGCTATAAGACCCGGTATGACAACATCAACCTGGTCACTGTGCGCGAGAACACTGAGGGCGAGTACTCGGGTCTCGAGCACGAGGTTGTTCCCGGTGTCGTGGAGTCTCTGAAGGTACGTAACGTTTATTTATATCACTTAGACATAAGTCTAAGGGCCTGAAGCATATAGGGCAATGCCGCCGAAACATGTCGGCTTACCATACAAACTGAACCTGACCGCACTTAACTTTTAGCCTATTTTAATGTTAACATGCAACGCACTTGTTGAAGGAGAACCCTGCCACTCGTAGCCGACGTTGTCAAAAACGTGTAAACACCTCAGGTTATTACGCGCAAGGCGAGCTCTCGGATTGCTGAGTTCGCGTTCGCGTATGCCCGCGAGAACGGCCGGCATAAGGTGTCGGCCGTGCACAAGGCCAACATCATGAAGAAGGCCGATGGCCTCTTCCTTGAGTGCTGCCGTGAGGTTGCCACCAAGTACTCGGACATCAAGTACGAGGAGGTCATCGTGGACAACGCCTGCATGCAGCTCGTGAGCAACCCCACGCAGTTCGACGTGCTGGTTATGCCCAACCTGTACGGCGACATTATCTCGGACCTGTGCGCTGGCCTGGTTGGTGGCCTCGGCCTCACCCCCTCCATGAACATTGGTGAGCAGCAGTCGGTTTGAGGCGTTTCCATCTGGCCGCTGCGTTTAGACATGGCAGGATTCGCTGTGCAGTCGTTGGTTCTTGGATAGCATGAAAGATCGGCACGGGGTCTGGACAAACCCCTTCCCTCCTGGCAGGGCGTCGGCGTTTACCTCAGCACCACCTACGGCATGTGCTAACGTGCGGTGTCACATGTCCGGTACCTAACCGCCTAACCTGCATGGTCGGGTTTATACATGCACGCCACCAAGCCGACGACAGGCAGTAGCTCCGTAGCTTGACACAACTGTTCCACCTCCTCCGTACAGGCGTGAACGGCCTGGCCCTGGCTGAGGCTGTGCACGGCACTGCCCCCGATATTGCCGGCAAGGATAAGGCCAACCCCACTGCGCTGCTGCTGTCCAGCTGCATGATGCTGCGGCACATTGGGCGGAAGGACCAGGCGGAGAACATCCAGAACGCCGTCATCTCGGTCATTGCCGGTGAGGTCGTGTCGCAAGGGTTGGGAACGTCGTGGTTGAAACCGTGCGCTTCAGAAAGGGTTAGGAACATGCCGCTGACCACACGAAACAGCTGCTCGAGAGGGTCTACTCGCCCAGCAGTCGTATTGCATGTCCTGACGCGATCCTTGCAATCCTCCTTTTAGTGGCACGTGTTTGATGGTTACAAATATGCATTTCAGGCCCTTAACCGTCTTATACCAACCTGTTGTTCCCTTGTTGCAGAGGGCAAGTGGCGCACGGCGGACCTGGGCGGCCGGGCCACCACCACCGACTTCAAGAAGGCCGTGATTGACAAGCTGCACTAAACCAGCTGCTGGAGTGAAACGACTTGCCTCCTGTATGCCTAGTGATTGCGGTTCCCTGTTGCCCACACTCTGTCGCGATGGCTTCGTGGTGAGCAAGCGTGCGATTGGAAGAGGCATGGGTCAAGAGTCATGGGTGCTCGCTCCGCACGTCCCGCCGCGCCTTTGCCGCTTTGTTGTGGCTTGCGCTTTGACAAGTTACAGGGGCTGCGCTGCTGGAGGAAAGCGATGGTGTACCGAGAAAGTCGCTATGTGTAGAGGGTCTGCAACATTTGAGGGGCCCTGAATGGTCGTCTGTACTTGCGTAATACCCGGCGTGTGCCGCGGTAGGCTGGACAAGGTTCAGTCCTTGTGCTGGAGCTTATCACGACGTGATGTGTGGGGCGCCGTTGGCGCAGCTGACTGCTGGTATGTGTATGACCGAATCGACAACTACGTGTGCCCCGGGGGAGCCCTGCCATGCGTCCATGTGCGGGGAGGAGTCCTGACGTACGTTTCACGTGCTACGCAGTGCATTCCCAGGCGCATGTCTGTCTGCGGGTGTGGCCTCAGGGTCGGAGCGAACTTAATGAGCGAAGTATGTACCAAGAGATGAGTGGCGTGGTGTGTATGTGTGGTTGTTTGTACTAAGCATGACACTGCTGGGAGAAGGGTCTGACGGCGTCCGATTACCTTTACTAACGCCCCGCATTAAGCACGATCCGTCATAGGGCGTTGCTTGAAATTGCCGAACGTAATGCCTGTCGGTGAACCGTTTGGTTGGTAAAGGTCGATTGGGGCGGCGCGAGCTTGTCCGACACGTTTTCCGACGGACGTTTGTAAATCCCTTTGCCAATAAACCATTGTCTGGCCAATAAACACTGGAGGCTGCATTATCACGAATACCTTCAGTAAACATCTACATACATAATAAGCGACGGAAGGCTACTCTCTCGCTGACTAAAGCTTGCAGCACGACTATTGAGATTGCACTGAATGACTCATTCAGGCCAGGTTAAACATACTCGAGCGTCGTACCGCTCAAGCATCTCAACTTCAACCATGATCTTTAGCAGCAGAGTCCAAGCCAGCAATCTTATACCGATATTCAATACAAGCCAAGCATAATGCAGCTTATTCGCAGCCCTTTGTCGACATGTGGCGGGCGCTGCAGGCGGCTGACCACACCCGCCAAGAGCGCTGCGCAATCCTCCGTCTTCAGCCCTCTGCGGTTGTGCACTTACAGGAGCGCCGGGAATACAATTCTGCGCGCTGTGGGCGACCCACGGGACGTTTCGGGAAATCCCGCTCGTGAAGAATACGTAGGTCATATCGCCTCTAAGCCTGTTGCGCCCCGGCCCGCTCATAGCATCGTAGTGCTTTTCGTGACTTGCAGCCGCCCACATGACTGTCAGTAGCATTAGTCTAGCGTGGACTCAATTGCTTGGGACGCAGAATGATGCGAGGCCTGGTTGCCGAAGCCAGCGCGGGCAACGCAAGAGCTTCGCCTTGTTAAAATCCGGAATGCATACATTTGCAGTATAGCTGGCTATACTCGAGCGCTTACATTGGCAACATTTCGATCAACCGCAGGACCGCGACGATCTTCCGGAGTCCTGGCAAGACGAGTGGATCAGCGGCAACCGGCGCATTGAGCTGCTGGACCCCACCTCCGGCATGCTGCAGAACAAGTCCGAAGTTCCGGAGGCATGGCAGGACGAGTGGGTCAGCGGCAACCCGCGAATCGAGCGTATTGAGCCGACGAACCCCCGCGCCGCCACCTCCAAGCCTCACAACGGCGGCGGCGGTGGCTCCAGCAGCGGCGGATTCAGGGACATTGGTGAGATTCCGGACGCCAACGTCGAGGGGCTCAGCAGCGGGGACTTTGCCGAGGAAACCCGTGACCGCGGCGCCGGTTTGGGTGGCCGTGAGACCCATGGGTCGGCTGCAGCGGGCCAGTTGGCGGGGACTCTGGACGGGTGCGCGAGCGGATGAATCTTAGAGCTTGCGGTCCAATGCTGGTTTGGTTCTCATTTTAGTCGTACCTAGCTTTTACCTGCTGGGAGGCCATCGAACGCGTTCCTGGGCTGTAGCACTTTCACCCAGCCCTCGCTCGAACACGCACCGCTACATGCCGCGTCTCCTCCCGATAAGCCACCCTTGGGCTTCTAATCTCTCTAAACCCTGCGCATGCACTGAGCCCAGTACCACCCCATGTCCTGTATGCAAAGCCAATCCACGGCCCGTCAGCCCGGCTGGCATTCTAACCCCGCCGCACCCCGGCGCCTCCTCACTGCCTCGCCCCCGTCCCATTCTATGGTTATGGTCTTTGACCCTCCCATTCCCATGCAGCCTGAAAATGGACAAGATACGCAACGAGTCTCTAGCTGGCGGCCTGGGCGCACGCGAGGCGCCTGCACTGGAGGCGACCTCGCAGGCGGCTGAGCCGCTGCCCACCAGCAGCAGCAGCGGTGGCGGAGGAGGAGGGAGCCCCCGCAGCAGCACCGCGGTCGGCGAGGGCGGCGGATTGCAGGAAGTCGAGTGAGAGACGCGGTATGGGCATTGCGGTGTACTGGGTACATTTGGGGCGGGGGGGGGGTTCCTTATGGTGGTAGCATGGGGAGCGGGTTGATACCTCGGCTGGCTGCTTGCACGGGGAATGGTGCAAGCAGGAGGGTATTCTGCTGTGTACGGGGCTGTGGTAGTGCGGTTGGCGAAGGTTTCTGGTGGTGACGAATGCTGTTAAAGGGCACTGTGGCCTGGTACCGTACGGACGCGCCTTCAACACACCGAGGAAGGGGAATGCTATGGGCGAAGGCTCGGACGAGTTCCTTTCGAAGGGATTCGACACTTCATGTATACCAGTACCGGTATGCATTATGGTGGCTAACATGGAGTACGCATTGTTGCGCATTGCGGTTCAGGCGGCAGTTATCGTAGTTGCGTGTCATTGGGGGGCTTATCGTTGATAGACGAGAACAAAGTTGTTGGCAAGTAGTGGAGGCGCTTAGTATTCTTATAGCAGTTAGGACAGGCTGAGACGTTGGGTTCTGCTTGATAATGCTGGCCTGTAGGAAACGGTCTTGCGCGAGTTGACGGTTGTCCGAATTCTCCGGTTTGGCAGCACGCAGCAGTCCCTACCGTTGCTACTGCTCTCTTCTCCGGTCTCACTCAATCGCGGACGCATCTGGGCACTCAGTTGTTGTCGTTCATCATGTCCAACAGACAGTCGACCTGCTCATCTTTTATTCCTACCCTTTGGCCTCCTTTGGTAGCCGAGCTGGGCGCTTCTTGCAATGCTCCTTCAGCACTCCTGCGTTACATATACCTTTCAATTTCAATGAAACTGATTAAGCCTATACCTTTCTGCGTCAATGGTAACGAGCCTTTGTTGTCAGACAAACCCACAACTGTACAATATACGACGCAAAACGCGTTTGCTAAGTTACTTGGTACAGTGTACACTTGATAGCCAGGACAGCATACGTCGTAAGTTTTCAACAATGGAATGACGAACCTGCCTTTGTTTTGTTGCTTAGTACGGATATGGTATCACTGCCGAATTCTGTCCACCTATGTCCCCATACACTGCTTCCATTAAGGAAAGAGGTCAGTATATTTGTGACATACATAAGACATGACTTTAGTTAGTCCAAGTTGCTTCGGCGGGGGCCGTTCGCGACGCCCGCTGGCTTAAGCAGTATGGAGACTTTAAGCAGTATGCGGGTGCCAGAGCACCCAAGTCTAAAGCTTCCACGCGAGGTCTCCTCCGGCCGGAAGGGCGAAACTCTCTCTTGGGGTCAGCGCCAGCATGCTCGCATAGCAGCTGAAGCTGTGGTAAGCACGTGAACACACTTTAGGAATAATTGTTCTACGACCTGCTCTGCGGGGTGTCAGGTGACTTTATAGGGTGCAGCTCCACCGCGGCAGCGACCACTGCCTTTGCCTTCCAAGCATGTTATATATCCTGTTAGAAATCACTGTGGCTTGTAAACTAGCTTTTACAAATCTCTCAAGTATCAGACAAGACAACCTGAGTTCATTACTATGGCCGCGACCTACGGCTTCCTTTGTTGAATTGCCCTTAAATGGTCCGCAGGCTATATGGAAAGTGGTGAAGCCATATCCGTCAACGCTTATCTGGCCGCTTGTTGTCTTAGCGGCCCTCCTGCTTGCGGGCGTGTGGGGCATAACCCGCGTTGCAACGGCGACAGCAGACAGCACTAAGGTGACGCGCATGGGGTTTGGGACCCAGAGCAAAACCTCCGCCAGGTTTGCAAGTGTTTGCTTCGTGGGATTCCCGGTAGCTACGGTTCCGGGTCAGAAGCTCAGCGTGTCGTTGTGGATTGAGTGGGTAGCGGCAGGTCCATACGCGCGCCTATCCGAGTTTGATGGCTGGTCGCCGCTGGGTCAACGGGGGGCATGCGGTCCAGGGAGAGTAGACCTGCATATCCGCCAGCCCAACGTCAAGGTCGCGCTACCGTTGACCAAATCCACAGCGCCGTGTGCCAGACGCTTGGCCCCGCCCTTGACATGTGTACCCACTTGACTTATCCACAACACCGCAGGACCGGGCGACTGCTATGGCGCAAGACGCGGCTTCCTGGTACCGGTCAAGCATAAAGGAGTCTTACGCGCCTGCTGTTTCGTTCTCCGTCCTCATCCACCATGACCCGAGCTTTGAGGGGCTCAGTAAACTCTTTGGCACCGCGGCACCGGAGCTCATGAGTCTGGTGGGTGATGGCGCGGGGTAGCATTGGATCCCGGCTCGGGCTTTGCGGGGTGACACGTCGTTGGGCCTGTGGATCGCTTGCGGCCTATTGGTTGTGCACTAGCGCACTTGCTCAAGTGCACAGGTTGCCGCATCATGCTTCGCGGTATCTACGCTGCTACTGCTGCAAGCAACGGCTGTGCCAGCGTTTAACGGCCCCGGGGCTCCGGTTCTCACGCGTTCACTGGGAAATGCACACGCCGGAACAATATGCCCCTTAGCCGTGTGTCTCCCTCCTGCCCACGCCGCCTTCTCCGCCTCGTCCTCCGCAGACGCCGGGCAATGTGTTGCGGAGCCTCCAGGTTGCCCCAAACGGGGTGATCAGCCTGGTGTATCCCAATGAGACCAACCAGCTGGTGATGGGGCACGACCTGTTCGAGGGTAGGCCTCATGCGGGTAACATGCTGGGCTATTGGGGGTGGGAGAAGGACGGCAGCGTGGCGGGAGAGAGGGTGGGAGGGGTGCGTCCGGGGCTGCGTTGGAGTTCGGAGGAAGGGAAGCTGCCGCTGTCTGCGGGTCGCTTCGGTCGGAGGAGCTGCCTGCGTGCCTGCATTGGGGCTTCGTGTCCGGGGGTGATTAGGGCCCAGGTAGCATGCCATCATGCCACACCTGCTCCGCACTCGCCTCGGCTGCGCTGCGCAGATGAATTGGACCGGCCGGCCGCCATCGCCTCCGTGCAGTATGGAAGCCTGGTTCTGATGGGCCCTATGGAGTTCCGGCAGGGCGGCTACGGCCTGAAGGCGCGGCTTCCTGTCTTTGTGCGCGACGTGGATGCGAACGAGTCGTTTGACGCGCCCCACAAGCTAAGCGCCTACTGCGGGAGTCCGTGCTACAATGCCACGACACGCACCAAGTTTTGGGGCTTTGTAAGTGGGTATGCTAGGGCTGGGATGGTTGCTGTGGGATTGAGACGGCGCTGGCGGGATGGATGCTGGGGGGGCGTCATTTGTGGCTGGGGCCAAGAAGACACGCCACACGTTGCGATGTGCCGCCCCCATCGCAACGCCTCTCTGGGCTC